AGTTTCATAACCATCACATGCTTTGAACGGATGGTTTATTAACCCTTCACCTGACACTCCTTTATATGGTCTCGAGACCATTTTAGTGGCTCATTATAAACCACTGGCATAGAAGTTCTTTACCAGTTTGTGTCTTTTTACCAGTTTTTCCTATCAATGTTTCTAAAATCTTCATCCACATCAAGTTTTTTCCTACTTCTTTATCTAATTAGTTTACTCGGGCTTTTGTTATTTTTGTTCTCTGAGTTAAATTCCTTATTGTTAGATGTCTACTCGAACTAAAGTAGCATTTGTTTACTAAAATTATCCCACGTTTAATTTCTTATGTGATAGAATTCTGATGGATCACAAGAGAGCATAAATATATGAATTTGTCTACTACCTCAAAGCTCTAATTGTTTTTACTCATTTATTCTGTACTAATATTTTTCGAAGCAGTTTCTTATTACGTTCCACTTATGTAATCTTGACTTTTTATATTGGTTCCATCATTCTTCTTGATACAATTAATTAGCTTTCGTTAGTTATTTTATTTATAATACTTACACTTAGATTATTAATTAATTAATTAATATGTTTTACAGTAGTCATGATTTTTATTTTTATTCGTGATGTGACAAGAAATCTATGAAATCGTAAAAGTAAAAATTAGATTATGCATGTGTTTGTTATGACAAGATTCATGCATCATAGAATACATAAATTAAGAAATGATATCATACTGCAAAACAAGGAGAGTTGGTTGAGATCTGCATAATTTATTTATTCTGAGAATAAAATATATGACGTTATTACTTGCTTATTAGCAAAAAGATAAAGACGAGCGATTTACCCCTATTAGCAGAGCATAAACCAATAAAAAAAATTATTTTCGCGCATTCTATTTCAAGTGGGTAGGAAATTTAAAACTATGTAACAAACCAACTTCTGAAGCTACACCTCTGGGGAGCTAATATTATGTTTTTCCAACTCCAACATGTGGCATTTCGACAGTCTCGTTTTTCGGCACTTATACAACCGGCGTGGCCCACGCACTTTCGCATTCTTCGATAATGCCTTCCTCCAAGAGTTTAATTAACTCAGCTTTAGTACCTCTCTCTTGACAGATAACATTCGGTATGGTAGCAGTGCAATCAGAGCACTAATCCCAGAATTATTGCGATACTCTTCATAAGCTGTATGGTCTCTTCTCATTCTAAAAGTATTCTGTTTCGTTCTGCACATACGATGACCTCAATTAACAATTGGGGTTATCAGAAAGGGAAGAGAAGATATTATGTTCAATCTAGATTTTGCTGGTGTCTCCATTTCGCATTGAATATGTATATTAAAATAAAAAAAGGAAAGCCAGAGGACTATACATAGGACATAGGACAGAGGACTTATTGGCAATCATAACCTTGCTCGCTGCGGGTCGAAACAGCTCCTTTGAGGTTTTCTTAAACCATGTTCTTAAATTCCGCAGCCATGATATTTTCCTTCTACCGGGTCATCGCTTACCTTTGACATTACCTTGCAATATAGACTGTAGCAGGGAGTAACGGTGCTGATTTCTCATCACGTGTCCCAGATATTGCAATTTTATTCGTTTGATTGTAAACACAATCTCTGGTTCATTTTTCCTAGAACTTCCTTGTTCGTGATCCTTGCTGTCCATGATATTCTGTCCATGATATAGATAAAGCCACATCTCAAATGCTTCAAGTTTTTTAATAGTGGTGTCTGTAAGCGTCCATGCCTCCTATAAATAAAAGTCTATTTTAAAAATAAGTGAAATTAAACATTAATATACACAAAAAACATACAATTATAACTAAACAAGAGTTTATACAAACATAAATATTAGTTAATATAAAACGACATCGACACCAAAAAGATAACCATTTAACGGAGAGAACACTGATGGCTCAAACAAAGCGACAACTACGACGTATTTAACATCTAAAAGACAAACCTACTATAGCCGCAAACATAATATACATAAAAAGATAAAAGACAAATTAATAATATTATAAAAAAAAACCTAATGACAGATACATATGTCAAAGTTATAAAAACAAATTATTAAATTAATAAATAAAATCGGTGGTAACAAAATACAAATATAGAATTGTAACGATTATTTTGCCTATCACATAGGGTATTACTATAAGGGGTTGAAAATTTGGGACAGAAATTATTGGGGTAGAGATAGGGTGGGCAAAATAAACCCGTACGTTTGCGAACGGCTACTCAGGGTTTATTTGGAGAACTGGGTCATGGATAAGTGAATAACAGGAGGGCTGGAATGAGGTAACTACAAAACTGAAACAAAAAGGGATACTTACATGAATCTCCTGGGACAAACACGATACAAGAAGTTCTTAAGCTATTTAAAATAAACGCCGCTTAGAAGAATCTTCCTGCTGGATGAAAGAAAGGCTCTTCTCTCCTAAAATATACAAAAAGAGGTTAGAAACTTTTTAAAAGAAATAAACAAAATGGTTTAGGGAAAAAAATATTTATTGTTATCTCACCACAAACAGGTACAACCATAAATAGTAATAATAAAATACAAAATAACAAAAAACAAACTTAGTATGCTCTATCTGTTTACAAACTATTCTCCCCTGCCGGATCTTGGCTTCCGAGGGCTAGGATCAGTAACCCCGTTATAAGTTTCTAAAACCATGATAATTGTACTAAGGATATCCATGGGGATCTTTAATTTAGCAGTTATACCTTGCCTTCTACATCCTTATGCCGTTGACCAAGATATTGGTTCATCCACCTTCGGGACCGATTTCTCAGCCCCAGGACAAAAACGGTGGCCTACCACCTACCAATTCTAGCCTCCCTTAGTTTAACCTGCAAACCAATGCAGTTGCCCGGGGTGTGCCACTTGGAGCTATAAGTGAGAGTTAGGTGTCTTATGAGGACCAGTTATCAAGAACCATCTCCCATCTATGACGCTCGATGTGGTCGTTGCGATAAAAAGTGCTACCTCTATAACAGAACCCTACACCCCATCAACGAATAGAGTAGAGTAGAGTATTTATTTAACTACATAACATATACAAATATTGTTTGTAGCCAGTCAAAAAAAACATACATAGTATTAAATAATAAAACATTAAATAATACAAACATGAAAACATATTAAACAGAAAAATATTTATGGCAAAGTTACGGTGAGCAGTTCAGTGGATTTTCTGCAATGAGTCATATATTCTTCTGAGCAGTAAAAACAATGTTTTAAAAGATATTTTTTTATAACTTTATCGAAACTATTACAGCTTAGCTCTTTTATACTTTTTGGTAAAATATTGTAATAGTTAAAATTTAGACTATTTTTTTCTGAAAGACTTAATCTACAGCGATTTGTTCGTAGGAAGTGACAGTTTCGTGTATTGTGAACATGGACATCAGACTGCTTTATTAAATGGGCACGTTTTCTGTGAATTTGAGTTAAAACTTGAAATTTCAACAGAGTAGGTAGCGGCATAATTTTGAATTTTATAAAGAAAGGTCGGCAGTGTTCTAGATAACTAACCCCTGCTAAAATCCTGACAGCTTTCTTTTGTATTCTAAAAATTTGAAGTGCATTTGTTGAATTATCCCATATAATTAAACCATAGTTTAGGTGAGAGTGGAATAAAGAAAAATATGTCATTTTTAATGTTTCAAAGTTCACAACCCTTGCTAGTTGGCGAATAACAAATAATGAACTTGATAGCTGTGTCTTAAGGTGTGAGATATGAGCAGACAAGTTGAGTCGATTATCTATGGTTATTCCCAATAGTTTAACAGTCTCTTTGTTAACTAGATCATTGTGTAAATTATTTGCAGATATAACCATATTTTGCGTTTTATCAGAGTTAAGTTTTAGTTTGTTTGCAGCAAACCATGAGCTAGATTTAGTAGAAACTTCCTCATGAGACATTTTTAAATCATCATTATTTTTTCCTGATATAACGTATGTTGTATCATCTGCGAATTGTATGGTTTTGTACGAAGATATGAATTTAGGCAGATCGTTGACATAAATAATAAACAAAAGAGGTCCTAAGACCGAACCTTGTGGGACTCCATGTTTTACGGATAGAAAATCAGAGAGATGACCTTTAGACACTACCTCCTGGTGTCTGCCACATAGATAAGAAGTTATAAGCTTAAGAGGGATACCTCTGATTCCATAGTAATTTAATTTGTGGAGCAAATTGTCGTGTGAAACGCAGTCAAAAGCCTTTGATAAGTCACAAAGAGAAATTGCTATGCGATTGCCGCGTTCAAGCCCCTCAATCACCTCGCTCACAACATTAAATACCGCGTTCGTAGTAGAACGAGCACTTCTAAATCCATATTGTGAGTTGCTAAAGTAATTCTTTGACTCAAAATATGAATAAAATTGTTGTTTGATAACCTTTTCAATCACTTTCCCAAAAGTAGAAACAATGCTTATGGGTCTGTAATCGTTAGTTTTTGAGGAATCACTTTTTTTGTAGACTGGTAGTACTTTTGAGTATTTTATGGTACGAATGCTAGGTACTAATTTTTTTGTTGGCATTAGTAGTTATTTCTACATTTCTGATCCTTTTATAATCTCCTCAAAAATAATATTGAACAACAGTTATAACAGTGGTAAATAGTTATCTGATAATTTGGTTGCAGGTCGGTGAAAACCATGATCTCTAATAGCCCATGGACCACAACCTGTGTATCCCTGGAACATGGCACATTGTAATAAAAATTCAATATAAAAAATAAAAAATATGCTACAGTATTAATAACATGTAGTTATGACCGATATTTCGCTTATCTTGTACTCTTATATGGCAATAAAATCATTAATTATTTTAGATAAGAAGATATTATCGACATGTTGATTTTGCTACATACATAACTTAACTGTTTAGTATAGGGACACCTTTAGTGGTACTAAATATCGTAAAAATTAACATTCTGTGATATTCTCTTGCAGTTTTCTCGTTTCTTTCCTTGTTGATGCTCGAGGAGGTGCGATGCGTGGTTGCCGACATTCGGGTGTGCGGGTAATAGTGCCTCCGAGGTGTGCTCCAAGTCCTACAAGAATAACATGCAGATATGTGCGACCGCAGCGAACGCCTCATCCGCCGCCCCTCATGGAGGGAGAAGCTCTGGCGAGTAGAGTGCTGGAATTGGGGCCAGTGGGAGCAAGATTCTTAGGGTGAGTGTTTTTTATTTACTTATTGTTCTAGGTTTAATAATATAATTATTTATAATCTAATAACTTGCATAAAAATACATTTAAAGTTCACATTATCCTACTGGTGAGGGCAGACAAGCTTATCACACTTCTTTTGTGATGCATATATTCCCAATGCATTTCCATCACTTTAAACCAAAACTCTGATATCAATTATTCGAATAAGTATTTCTTCGATCCAGTTCTGCCTTCTTAGGCTTTTCCTAAATATTATTATATGAAAAGAATTATTCTGGTAACATGCAAATTCGACTTCCCAAGAGGACGGATACTATTATAGGAAACTTTGTCCAATATAGCTACATACTTTTGAAAGAAGAAAAACGAGACTATCTCTAAACTCTATAAATATTCCTTCATTAAATTGGTATCCGGTGGGATAATTATTATGTTTTCCTTCTTTTTCATTTTACTGTTAGTCCAGTCGTCAAGGAGTTAAGCCCTAAAAATCATACGAACAAGCTGAATTTTGCCAAAAATATGAATTTTGGGACCCCAAAAAAGATGCAAAAAAGTTTACCATTTTAACCCACAGACTTCCCCCTAAAATCGCCCTCGTAGTGGGGTAAAAATGAAAAAAAAATCGATTTTCCAAGAATCTGTACGCCGTAGAAAAAATGTTTCAAATAAAAAATGTAGCTGAGATAATTTTGAATAAAAAAGCCCTTTAAAAAATGTTTATTAGCCCTTTTTGCATAGAATAAACCGTTTTCTTAGCAACAACGCTTGAAACTACTCTGTCGTTTTTAATGTCAGTTACATGCGCAAAATCAATGTTCAAGATCTCTCTCTTCAATCCTGACCCCCAGGGGGAGTGTAGTGGTCGACGTGATGTCGTGTATTGTCCGTCTCCAGAGATCTCTGTCTCTGGTCATTTCTTTTAATTCATGCATAGGTCTTTGGCATATTCCTGTAATTTGATCTATCCATCTTGTTGGGGATCTTCCTCGTGATCTTCGGCCTTCTACCTTTCCTTGTATTATGAGTCTTTCCATGTTTTCTGTGTTTGCTCTCATAACATGCCCAAAATATTTTAATTGTTGGAGATGGACTTTACTAGAGAGTCGTTGGCTAATTTTTAGCTCTCTTAAAATTGAATTATTTGTTCTACGGTCGGTCCAAGAAATTCGTAACATTCGTCTCCAACAGAACATTTCAGTGGCGTCCATCTTTCTTCTCTCCGATTGTCTCAGAGTCCAAGATTCACATCAGTAGGTCAGTATTGGGAATATTAAGCAGTTGATCAACCTCATCTTTATCGCTCTTGAGATTTGACAGTCGTTCCATATTTTGGTCATTTTTGCTGTGGCAACTTTTGCTAGATCACATCTAAGTTTAATCTCTTCTTGTAATGACCCTGTGTTTGTGATTAATGATCCCAGATATAAGTATGAGCTCACAACCTCGAACCGGTCAATTGTGGTTATGTGTGGATAATTGTTGTGTAGTATATCCACTATCATGATCTTTGTCTTTGATATGTTTAATTGTAGATCAAATATTTGACTTTCGTTTTCGATCAGTTGTATAAGTTCCATCAGCTCTGCTTGACTATTTTCAAGAAGGGCTGTGTCATATGCGAAATGTAGGTTGTTTAGTTTATGACCATTTATTGAGATGCCCTTTTCCCATCCTTCAAGTGCTCTTCACATAATATACTCCCCATATATGTTGAATAATTGTGGAGATAGTATACATTCTTGTCTGATACCCCGTTCTGGATGAAACTCGTTCGAAAGTGTCAAGTACTTTAACTAATCCAGTAGTGTGTTCATATAGTTCAGTTATAAGCGTAATTAGATGTTGTGGTACTCCTACTTCTTTTAGTATTCGCCATAAGTCTCTCTACTTGACCCAGTAGAACGCTTTACGGTAATCTATAAAACAGACGTATAGTGGTATGTTGAATTCTCTAGATTTCTCGATTATCTGTCTTATATTCAGCAGGTGTTCTCGAGTGCCTCTACCTTTGGTAAATCCAGTTTGCTCTTGTGGAATTTCTCTTTGAAGGAATGACGCATTTATGGAAGCTGCCTTTTTTATGTATGGTCGTTATTGTAGATTTTGTCCAGTCTTCAGGCCATTGTTTGGAATGCCATATTTGGTTACAGGGTAGATGAAGTAACTTTACGCCGGTTTCTTCTGTGGCTTTAAGCATTTCTGCTGTTATCATATCTGGACCTGGTGCTTTGTTATATTTGAGCTTGTTGATAGCCTGTCTTACTTCATTTTCGAGTATATCAGGTTCTTCTTCCACCTCGTCAGAGATTTAGCTAACAAGCTCTTGGCGTTGATCATCTTTATATAGGTCCCTGCAATACGATCTCCATGTCTTGCTATGTCTTCTCTGTTTGTTCTCAGGGTTCCAGTGTTATCTTCAATGGCCCAAGTTCTGGCTCTGAAGTCTCTTGTCAGGTAGCGTATTTTTCTAAATAGATCTCTCGGCTGATTATTTCTTTGCATATACTTTGATAGTACTGTTTTTTGTCGGCCTTACATTTTAGTTTTATTTCTTTATTGAGGTTTCTTAAACTTGCTTTTTTCCTTTCACTATGTACACCACTTTTACAAAGATTTCTTCTATTCTCAATTATTTTAAGAGTTTCATCTCTTATCCAGTGTTTCCGTTTCACTGGATTATTTTTCTTTACTGGTATTGTTACGCAATGTTTAACAGTCTCCTATATTTCTTGTGATGTTCCGTTACGAATAGAGGGCATACTTTTCTGTACTTCCTGTAGAAGGTCGTCTTTCTTTCTTAGTTCTATCCTCTTTATCTCTCTTTGTTTGTTGGGTGCTTTAAGTTTAAGCATTACTTTAGCTACGAGGAGGATATGATCTGACTGTTTGAATGGACGATCTCCAGCGAATATTGGTAAGGACGTAATCTATTTGATTTCTAAATCTATCTCCAGGACTTTTCCAAGTATAAAGTCGACGTACATGGTGTTTAAATCGAGTATTTATGATAGAGTAGTTTTTTGTGATAGCAAATTCGATTAAACGGTCTCCTCTTTCGTTTCTCTGCCCTATGCCAAACTTTCCCAGTACATTCTTTAAGTCGTCATTTTGTGTAGTGTTGCCAACTTTTGCATTAAAGTCACCACATATTATAGTAAGTTCTTTATTTGGTATGTTAGCGATTGTGGTCTTCAGTTTTTCGTAGAACTCCTCGATCTTTATGTCATCTGATGTGCTGGTTGGCTGACTTGTAAGATATTAAGTTTATGTGTTTTGCCATCCAGTTTAATGAGTACTATCCTATCGTTCACAGCTTTAAATTCGACAAGTGACTTTTGTAATCTTGGTGAGACCAGAATGGCAACACCAGTATAGTTCTGGGTCTCACCGCCAGAGAAGTAAATATAGTTGCCATTGTCTGTTTTAAAATGACCCTCTCCTAACCAATGAGTTTCAGCTAGTCCAGATATTTCTATATTGTATCTTGCTAGCTCGTTTTCAATAATTGCTAGCTTACCTGTGATCATTTTTAGCAATTGTATATTCCATGTACCGACCTTCAATAGCTGCCTGAGTTTTACTTTATCTTTTTGTAGACCAGTAGCTGAATTTCCACACGATGCCTGGTCACTATCATTTGTGTGGCCGGTGGCCAATTTTACACTACTTGACCCGGACTCAAGGTAGCGCCGGTCGTCAACCGGGCTGCGTGACAACATCCGAGGCATTCTATTCGATGACATCACGCATAACTTTCTTGGGAATTATTATGCAATGGTTTCCCCTGCCCTATTGCATCGCAGTATCACAACCTTTCTGCTGTTACAGCTCCGCTTGTGAAATTCCAATGATAAGCCGGTTCAGGATAATTTCCTATACGCCTTAACTTAGTACTGGCGGTCGCTGCTGCCCTCCGTCAGAAATTTTTATCGACCTTCCGGTCAAAGATTGAGGAATTTAGGAGTGTGCGATGTTCAAGATAAGATAAAGATATATACAAAGCAACAAGAAAGAAAAGGAAAAGGGAAAATTTTTTACAAAAAAATGGATGGCACTATTTTCGGATATTTGAATTTCAAAAATACGTATCAGATCCTCATGATAAAAAAAAACTAAATGAAAGACCGCTTAGAAAAGGTGATCGACACTGTAGCATTCTCAAACGGGAAAAATATTGTATCGTAATTAATTAAGAGTGATGCGTTAGATAAACTTAATATTGAAAGCCTTCCAAATTAGGATAAGAAAACATTGAGACTATAATGAAACGAGAGAATGCAAAAATAATATAGACAAGAAACGAGAAGTACAAAAATAAAAACGAAAATTATAATATAACTTAAGGGGTCTCTCGCAATGAATAGAAATAATGTTTTACATCTCACTTAGAGAAGATATTAGCAAAACTTATCTGGAAAAACTAACTGTTTCGATTTTTGATCCGCAATAACGGATTTTTGCGGCATTACGGTGGTATCTTTAAAAGGGGATATGAAGTGTGATCAATAACGGTTATTTGGAATTATAACGGCAGACTCTTTTTGTGCCGCCTTAAGAGGAAATATTTAAAATATTTAAAAAGTACCCTAAAAATACTGAACTAGTACCGTGAGGAATATTGAAAAGAGAAACAAATGACTTTACTTTTTTTCCTAGGTTAATGGTACTATCAAAGCCAAAAGGCCAGTCATGTTTTCTAAATGACTTTACTGGTTCTTTCACAAGTTTTAGTAACGTAAAAAAATAAAGAAACTGTCACTTGGTGAATTTTCGACAAGTTTATGATTAAAACAGATATTACTTCTTATTTTTCCCCCGTTTCCTTTTCCCCGTTACTTACATTTTCCTTAATCATTTGTTTCATACCTAATATTACTGAGTGCGTGATGCTCGAATGAAAGTCACCCAGAATTATTGCGAACTCAATATTTTTTATTGAGTTTACATTTTTTAAGCTTTCAATATATCTAAATATGTAATTAACCTAAATATATTATTCTATTTACAGGCCTGTGATAATAGAAGTACCCCATTTTGCTGCCCTGCGCGGTAAAGAACGTGAAATTGTGATACTTCGATCTGATAATGGCGAGTCGTGGAAGGAACACTCTGTAGATGCCAGTGAAGAAATCCTTAACCAAGTACTACACGATAGTTTCGAAGCAGATGGTAAGTAATTTTGAATAATTTCAGTAATAATAATATTCCCAATAATTTTTGTTATAATAATTAAGCTTTTACTGTCAACTACTTTCGTGATTCTTTTAAAATAGATAAATAAAAAAAGAACGTGACACTTGAGAAGTAAACACTTCTTATAGCGTGTTATTGTGTAGGTTCATGGAATTTATTTAGCGTATGGCTACATCACAGTTACATATATATACATATTATAATATAAATTATATAAATTACAAACATCGGTAAATACAAAAATATTATTCTACAAACAAACATCTAGATTATAAATATATTCGATTGATTCTTTTGTAGCAGCCAGGAAATCTGAAGGGTTGCCGTTATAGGATCTAATCGGGCATTCCTCTACCACGTGTTTTACTGTTTGCCTTTCGGCGCCGCAGTCGCAATTTAGTGATTGTATTTTTCCCTATCTAAAAAGTGAGTCGGAACATCTGCCACAGTTCGTCCTTATTCTATTGAGTGTGGTCCAAATTCGTCTCGGTTGGTTGAATACCTCAGGTTTGCTTGTAATACATGGCATGTTCCAGTTAGCTGGTGCAGCGTTATTCTCCCATTGTTCTCTCCACCGTTCAGTTACATTAAAGTTTTGATCTACTAGCCTTTTTGCTGTTTTTAGAGGCGGGTCTCTTGAACGGAGCCTATTTATGTCTCTGGCGGAAGTTCCGACATGAGAGCGGAGCTCAGGATCAGTATTGATTTTTGTAAATTCTCTGACAAGGGCATGTTCCCGGCGGATGGGTGGTGGAGCTATATGACTCAAAGCTGGTAACCAGTAAGTGGGCGTGGCTTTGATTGTGCCCGATATAGTTCGCATGGCTTGGTTGAGTTGGACATCAACACGGTGAGTATGTGGACTCTTTATCCATACTGGTGCACAGTATTTCGCTACGGGGTATACCAGTCCTAATGCTGTCGATCTAAGTGTGGGTGCTGAGGAGCCCCATGTAGTGCCGCAGAGCTTTTGCAGGATGTTGTTACGAGTTCGGAGTTTTGCAGCAGTCTTAGTAAGATGCTCTTTAAAGTTCAGCGTTCTGTCAAGTGTAACACCTAAGTATTTTGGGTGTTTATTATATTTAAGGAGTCTATCCCCAAAATTGATTTGAGGTTGATAGTTGGCCATCTTGTTGTTCAAATGGAAGCAGGATATCAGTTCACCTGATATAATCCACAAACTCATTTATAAAAATAAAAAAATAATAAAAATAAAAATAAAAAAAAAAAAAAAAAAAAAAAAAAAAAAAAAAAAAAAAAAATATAAAAAGAAACGTAAATTGCTTCAACAATCAGCTTACCCTAACATTACTTTAGATTCCCCATCTTATTTCTCATTACCATTTCACTGTCCAACACTCTCTGAATCAATAAAAAACACTATCCTGAATTCTGTTGAAAATATTAAGATTTCCTTTAAAGTCAACAATAAACTGAGTAGATCATTATGCAATAGTAAGGACCCTATTCACTTCACTAAACGCAGTGGAGTTTATAAACTACAGTGTTCTGACTGTGATGCCACTTACATCGGTAGAACTTGTAGATCTCTAGTAACCAGGGCCATTGAACATTCTAAGGTAGAGAACACTTCTTCTTTTTCACATCACCTTAAATATCACAACCACACAATCAAGGTACCAGATGATATCTCTCTTCTTCATAACATCCCTGGTAGAGATTATCTCAAACTCGACCTTTTTGAGGATTTGGAAATAGTCAAGGAAAAGAAAAATAGTCCCAATTGTGTTAATCGTCACACCAGCATCAACAGAGACTTCGTCCCACTTCATCGACAATTATTCTCCTAAACTAACTTTCTCTCTTTTAACTACCCATCCAATTTTACTTCACTTCTACATTTCTTTTTTTCCTTTTTATTTCCCACAGCTAAATTTCAACTTACATAATCATTCATACTTAACTCTATACTTGTCACCATTAATACACTAACATCACCCCTTTGCCAATATCCAACTACCCATCCTCTCCAATAACTACCATCACTCATCATACACATTTTTTATAATTATTCATTTTACATCTTTTTTCTCTTATCACAATCAGTTTTAATATCACCAGTTTAAATCACCATATTCACCTTCTATTTCCTTTTCTTGCTTTCTCGTTAATTTCCTTTTTCTTGTTCTTTCCTCTACTCATCTTCCATAAATTACAATCCTACTTTTATATATATTCATTTAATCATACACATACAATCATACACATTTTCTTATAAATATTAATTTTACATCTATCTACCTCCTATCACAATCAGTTTCAATTTCTCCATCTTACATCGTCACATTCACTTTCTATTCCCTTTCTTACCTTCTCGTTTACTTCTTTTTCTTTTCCTCGACTCATCTTCCATAAATTACAATCCATCTTTTATATATACTTATTTAATACAACGATACAATTAGGTAATAACATCCTTTTCATCCCATTTAAAATGATTTATTAATTTTAACCACTTAAATTACATAAAATTTTTACCTACCTTGGTATACCGATTTATTTTGCATCACAGTCACGCATTGATTTATATTCTCCCATCAGTTTTTTAAAATACCAAAAATTGCTTATGATCCTACTACACACAAAACACATTTCTTCACTAAAAACTGCCTACTCACAAACTTAAGCACAATGACTTTGCTCCTACCACATCATTCCTCTTGACATTGACGGGTACTAACTGATTTTTCATACCATCTTTCTATCAGTTAGCCCTAGACTCCAACATAGATCAGAGGTAATGTAAGTCAATAAAACTTCACCAACTACAGGGGGTCATATAAGATGCCCCAGTTTCATTTTTTATATTACACAAGTCAAGAGTCTATTGCATTTACCTAAATAAATAACACGAAGAATATTATTTTTTAAATCCAGATGTCAACCGAATGTTTTTTATGTGGCCACACAATGTTTTTTAACAACCTTTTTTATGTAAGTAGTAAAAAACCAACTTTCTCTTTTTGTATGTTCAAATTTTAACTTTGTTGTTTTTAATATTGGTATTTTTACTCTCTCTTTTAGTAAACTGATGATGGAATGATACATATTCCGAAAAGATCTTCTTTATAATAAAAAATTTTAAGCTTTTAATAAGCGTTTTTATACCTTAATACACACGAACACCACGTGCTTTGGAAGCAGGAAGGTTCATGGAATTTTATGTCTGCTTAATACTGAATTCTTAATATTTTTATAATAACACTACACATTTAAAAACTTAAACTCACTAAGTCCTAGGTATCGCACAACTTCGAGGGCTTTGGTATGAATTATTATCCCATATAGTAACAATTTTATGTTTTCATTTCACAACCAATTGAACACAGCTTGATCTACAGCAAGTTTCTTAGTTTTAGGAAATTTTCTTTTTTTGGTCAGCGTCAGCACCTTCATGAACCAATTTTAGAACTCTTTTATTTTGTACTAATATGGTCACTTGAGTCTTTTTTTAAGCCCTTTTCTCTATTCGGATTGCCGAATATAGGCCTCTCCTTATTCTCGCCATTCATCTGTGTTGTTTGTAAGAAGTTTCCACATTGGCCCTGCGGTTCTTATAATATCGTCGCTCCATCTCATTTGCGGTCTTCCTCGTGGTCTTTTGGCTTCATATGGTCGCCATCCCAATTTGTTTATTCCATCGGCCATCCGTATGTTAGTACAGGAAGGATAAAGGAATTAAACATTTTGGTTCCCTGTCTTTGAGGTATATTTTTATTTTTATGTACTTATAAGAGTCTTTCGAATGCTGCCCATTCCATTTTTACACGTCTGCTTTTATTTCGGTTGTCTGATTTTCTTTGCTTATCGTAACATTTTGATCCAGATATGTATATTCATCTACGTGTTCTATCTTTGTCGTCCCTTAGATGTTTATCATAGGTTTGTCATCTTTGTTTGACATTAATTTAGTTTTGCTGAATTTCATTTTCAGTCCTTTTTTAAGGATTCTGTGTGTAACTCCTCAGTCATCGTGTTCAGTGCATTCCACTTGTCGGCTATTAGTACTACATCATTTGCGTATCTAAGATGGTTCAAGTATCTTCCGTTAGTAGGGATTCCCTTATTTTCTCAGTCTATTGACTTAAAGAAATCTTCTAGGGCAGCTGTAAATAATTTTGGAGATATTGTGTCTCCTTGTCTTACTCCTCGGTTGATTTTTACTGGTCTTGTTTCGATTTCATTACCCAACGTCACTATCATTTCAGCTTCTTCTTAAATATTATGTATTAATATTCTGTACCTGGAGTCGATCCGGTTGTTGACTAATGCTTCTTCTATTGCCCACAGTTCTACGCTATCGAAAGCTTTTTCATAATCTATAAAAGCCAGACATAATGAGAGATTGTATTCGTTAATCTTTTGTATTAGGATTTTTAAAGTATACAGATGGTCACAGGTGCTGTACCCTTTTTTAAATCCGGCTTGTTCTACTGGTTCATATTCGTCAATTTTAATTGTTAACCTGTTTGTAATAATCTTTGTAAAGGAAAAAAAGAGGTTAGTCTTCGTAAGTGGGTATATTTATTTAAAAACCCTTAAAAGGGCTATATAAAAAAACAAACGTTTTCGGACTAAACAGTCCATCATCAGGTCTAAATTTTAAAATTGCTAGGTTAAAATGCCTGAGCCACCAAAATATATGGGTAAAAACCCTTTAAATTACAATTAGTTATAAAAGATTATACATCTTGTTGTTAAAAAACTATGATGTTCAGTATTAAATTAAATATGACTTTAGGTAACATACATTGTTGAAGTGAATTCCAGAGCCGGAGAGTAAACCTCTACACACGGAGAACAGCTGAAAACTTCTCCGTGTGTAGAGGTCGATAATTTTTCAGGTCTGTGGTGTCTCCCTTTTTGTGTATTGTATTGTTTTAGCAGTATTCCATTGTTGACTTGAGTCTTGCCTACTTTAAATTTTTCAGCTAACCTCCTGGTACTTATACCACTTTTTTCACTTTCGCTAATGTTATCCATTTTCTCTTTGATAGAAAGTTGTGATATTCGTTAGATCCAAAATAACACTTATACCACGATTTAAAAAACTGTCGACTAATACACGCTAAGCAGAAAAAATCATTAGCAGTAGGCAACAGTAGTTGTTTTTTTTTGTATTTTTTTTCAAGGAAAAAATTTGATTAAAAAAATTTCTAGTTTTTTTAGTTTACGAACTAGAGTCTTATAAACAACTAAATTGTTTATAACAATTTTTTGACCACACGGATAAAAATCCACCCCCGAAATTCGTAATGAGCCTCAAAAAATATATAAAAAAAATTGGGTGGGTCCATCAGAATTGAAAAGGTTACGGTGGCTCTTAGACCTGTATAATTTTTCCTCAAATGGCATTCAGCAATCATGTTCGGCGCCACAATCACATTCGGCGGAAATTCTCATCTTCCATTTGTGAAGATAGTGCGCAAGTTCCATATCCCGTTCGTATTCTGTGGAGGAAAACTATGATTTTAGAGAGAGGTTAAGACCTCGTGAGTTTCTGTGGTGCATAGTATGTTGCTCATTATTGGTTTGGAGCTGTCGCTCTGCAGGTTTTTTTACTGGATGTACGTTTGGAAATTTTTGCACTGCAAGCGATTTGAATTATCGTCAGTAGTGCCTATGTATATTGATTATTACTCGTTGTTAATTATTTTTTTGAACATCTCTTAATAAGCATATTATTGAGGAAGTTGAGGCGGGGGTAAGTGGGTTAATATTGGCAGCCATTCTATTGGTACAGACTTGATCGTTCCAAATATTAGCTCCATAGTGGTATTAAGCTGAATATACATAGGTAGCCAAAAGTCCCTTCTCCTCTCGTATCTTTTATTAACCGTAACGGTTATATTTATAATTGAAATTGGAAGGGAGGAAATAAATGAACGTAGGCTTATCAACTAATAACAAGTGACGTAATAGTGATCTATAACATAACAGAGCCACTGTGGCCGAAAATTTTAACTGGAACCTTATAGCAAGTGATATCTCGTTTAAAAGGTATTGAACATACCTATTTAATTTTACTAATTTTGTTTTGGTTCAAACTGATTTTGATAAATGGATTAAATAAATACGAAAATTATAGTTTCGTGTGCTGTATAAGTAGTGAATGTAGAAACAATTTTCATACAGCAAAACATCTTTTTAATGAAAGGTACCGCGATCGACCTATATCGAGGACTTACATATTTGGGAGAGCTTCTTCGAAATTTTGAAGAAACAGGCAGTGTTTAAGAGGACAAACGATCTAATCGACCAACAACTAGTGATAACAAAAAAATTGACATAATTGCTGAAATCGTAATATGCCCGACATCTTCTATAGCCTAAGTTGCATCTATCTATAGAAACGACCAAAGGCAGTACACAGAGTATTGGCTAGAAAAAATTTCATCCATTCAAATTAAAAATTGTGCACTAACTTTCAAATGATGACCCCGACCGAAAACTGGAATTCTGTGAAAAGATGTCCAATAAAATTAACCAGCAGCCAGATTACATAAAAACAATTTGTTTTAGTGACGAAAGAAATTTTTCTCTCAATGGAAATGTTAACACACCCAATGTGAGGTATTGTAGTGATATAAATCCTCACGTCTTTCGTGAAAAACATACGACATTTCCAGAAAAAGTACATATTTGGGGAGGTGTTTTGGAAAACCACATAGTTGGAATCTATTATTATCAAAGAGTTCTTGGATGTATTTGTTTATGTGCATATTTCTTGATTTTTATCTGTGATAATGTTCCCCTGTTAATCTTGTAGTTTGCTAACTGTATTGGATTTTTGAGGACCAGCTGCTTGTCTTACTTACTTACACACCAATATTTTTTATCTAAAAATAATCCACCTATATGTGAACTATATAAAGTGTCAGTTATTAACAATCATTCACTAATTATCTCGCCGTATTTTGTTAATTATTTCCTTTGTTGCCTTTTGCTGATTACCTTGTTTACTTGATATTTGTAGAGACATATTAAAAATCGTACTAACGTTTTCGTTTTTTGTTCTAGATCTTAGTCAACTAGAAGATGTGTCCTCGGGGCGAATAACCAGGATAGTAACCCAAGATTTCCCACAGTACTTCGCAGTCGTATCTAGGATACGACAAGAAGTACACGCCATCGGTCCTGAAGGCGGTATGGTGTCAAGCACGGTAGTACCACAAGTCCAAGCGGTATTCCCTGAGGGAGCGCTCACCAAGAAAATTAAAGTCGGCCTTCAGGTAAATTTATTCAAACCTCGTAAAGGGGTACCTTTGGACAAATTGAGAAAAATTACAGTAAATCATATACCGAAAAAGAAACGGTGGTCTTTGGTTTGGTGAATTTTTTAAAATAAGAGGTATTTGATATATTTTGTAAATTTTCACTGTGTATAATGTACAGTCAAATATTTTTTGTAAATGAAAATACTACGTTAATACTAAAGTCAAAGAAAACTATTTTGTACAAAATATATATAAATTTTCTCAAAGACATTTTGGTACGATTGATATTTTAAAAAATTGAATTAAATCATTCGTAGACTAGACAAACGATTGTTTTTCACATTAGTAAATGTTCTAAATATAATTTTGGCATTAATTTATTATATTGTTTTCACATAATTGACTTCTTTAAAACCACTCAAACATAGACTCTCAGCAGAAAAGAGAAAAAGCTTGTCTGAATATGAAGTTAAAATTTGAAACTTGAAAATTGAACTTCAAATAACTTAATTTAAATACATTTTAGAAGAATTCCCACTATATTTAAATATACATGGTATGTTTTATTACACTGGACTAGGCATACCTTCCGATTCGTCTATGATTCTACAGCTGGACGACTGAATGACAGCGCAATTGACTGTGTCTTGTGAACGCTGCAGGCCACACCTGCCCGTTACGTCACCAGTCTACTCCCGTCTGACTCCGCTGTTGTCACCGGTCGATCTTTGGTGCGAGAAGCTTATCCCGCTTTGTGTTTGATGTTTAGGTTTTGCTCGGTGTTTTCTGTTGGTAATTGGAATAATAACAGCTATGAAACCGGAGGAGCTAATTATATGTAATAGAAAGTTTTCAGTGCTATAAATATGATTAGATGCAAAAACTATTATAGAAGATAGAAGAGAATAGAATAGAAATATGTTTTATTTACACGAAAATTATTGAACAATTTTATGGACAAAGCTTAAAAATAAATCAGTCAAATAGTACCAAAAATATAAAAGAAAAACAAATATAATAAAAAAAAAACAGAACAATACAATTTTAAATTAGTAAAATTATTGTATACCTTACATAATTTGTACAGACAACAACAAATGAAACAAATTGTAGCCACTGCTTGAGACACCCAAATGTAATTATAAACAATACTAATTTTGTTTCTTTGTTATACATTAAGAAACTCGTCAACTGAATAATATGGTCTTTCAGACAGATAGATTTTTGTCATCTTACGAAACTTAATGAAAGATGTTGCGGATTTAATTTCTCTTGGAAGGTGATTATAAAGTTTTTTTGCACTATATAGAATACAATTATTTACTAGCTGAGTGGACGGGATCAGTAAAGAAACGTTACAATCAGAATTTCTAATGGAGTAGACATGATCAGGTCTATCGGGAAAAATGTTTAGATGCTTTCGAATCAAACAAACCGTTTCCAAAATAAATAAAGAGGGAAGCGTCAAAATTCCGTGATTTTTGAAGTAGGTCTTGCAATGAGTTGTTTGTTTGAGACCAAATAGATAACCAATTGCTCTTTTTTGCAACTTAAAAATAGTATGAAATTGGGCCGCCGTACTAGAACCCCAAAATGGAAGCCCATATCGAAGATGGGACTAGAACAATGAGAAATATGTCATTTTGATAAAAGATAAATTTAGTTCCTTCGAAACAGATCTTATTGCAAAGCAAGCTGAGGCTAGTTTCTTCCTTAAGGAGTCAATATGCAAGGACCATTTAAGATCACTGTCGATAAGAATACCTAGAAATTTCACGGAATTAACGATACTGATTTGACTCTCATTCAAAAGCAAGGGTTGTAGGACTCCTTTATAAGATAATGCTACTATGTTATCCACGTTAAAGCTAAGTAAGTTGGAGTCTGACCAAGCCTTGATTATCAGCAAATCAGATGTTATAATTGAATGAAGCGTTGAAATATTAAAGTTGCTTCAAGTAATACTGGTATTATCAGCAAATAGAAAAATTTTTTCTTTAATTTTCAAGTAAGTGATGTAATTAATGAAAATTAAAAAAAGAATGGGACCTAATACTGAACCTTGCGGTACTCCACACTCAATATCTTTACAACTAGAGTCGGTGTCTTTTATTCTAACCAATTGTTTCCTACCTACCAAGTAAGTTTTGAATTAATTCAAAGACACCCTGAATTCCATAGAAAGTTATTTTTATTTTTGATAGAATGCCGTGATTTACGCAGTCAAAGGCTTTGGAATAGTCGCAGAAAACGGTGGCGGAGGAGAGGTTATTATTTAGTGATAGATATACCTCATGTAACACAGAAAACATGGCATCACTAGTACATTTATTAGACAAAAAGCCGAACTGATTTTGCGATAAAATATTATGTTTAAGGAGAAAGGGCATAATTCGAACTTTTATAAGCCTTTCAATAATTTTTGATAGTGCTGGTTACAAGGCAATAGGTCTATAGTTGCAGGCATCAGATTTTTCTCCACCTTTATGAAGAGGAAAAACGATGGCAGTCTTTAGACAGTTAGGGAATGTACCTTTTTCAAGGGAATCATTTACTAGCGAGACCATGACCTCCAAAACATTATGCGGTAGGTTTGAGAAAATTTAAATAGATAATCCATCTATACTACAGGACGATGTGCTTTTTATACTACGAATTGTTCGAATGAGTTCAGTCTTATCAACTGGTCTTAAAAAGAAGGTATCAGCAGTGTTTTTTGAATTAGGGAGATAGGAAACTGGATGCAGTTTCAGATGCAGAAGAGTATAAGACAATTTTTCTTTTAACTTATGTTCCAACTCATTGACCATACACATCGCATTCTAATATATTAAAAAAACTAGTCTCGTCATCTAACAGATGGGGTACAAGTGTAGTAGACTTTCCTTCTTCATGTATTGTATCCATGTAATTGTATCCAATATTTTCATTCATTGCTCTCTATCAACGACTTTTTTTTCAATTTCATCTTCTTGATTCAAAGAGGTAGTCACAATAGCTGAATCACGATTATTTAAATATTTAACATTATACGCAGTGTACCTTCTAGTAATGCAGGCAGGGGGTGTTTTGGGGGTTAAACCCCCCTTAGAGCACTATTCCGATACTTCTTCTTCTTCAAGTGCCCATTGCCCTCAAGTATCTTTGAAGTTGTTGCTTTAAATAATTGGTTAGACCAGTCTCTTAAATTGCGCATCCAAGATATACGTCGTGTCCCCACGCTTCGTTTGTCTGAATCTTTCCTTGTATAAATAACTGGAGCAATTGGTACTTTTTCCCTCTCATCACTTGACCAAGATATTCCAGCTTTCTTCTCTTGATGGTAATCAAAAGCTCCCGTTCTTTGTTCATTCTTCGAAGAACTACACTATTTGTTATTTTGTCTGTCCAAGTTATTTTCAAAATTTTTCTATACATCCACATTTCAAAGGCCTCGAGTTTATCTATATTGCTCTTGTTTAAAGGCCAAGTCTCTACTCCGTACAGCAGTATCGAAAATATGTAGCATCTAACCAATCTCATTTTCAGGTTTAGGTTAATGTCATGACTTCCCAGAGATTCCAATACTGGTACTCACAAATATTAAGGTTAAGAACGACTCAAAATTAAGGTAGAATAAAAAAAATTTTGGTGTTCAACTAAAAACCAACCCCCCTCCCCCCACATTAAAACTCTAGGTGCGCCACTGGTATCTTCCACGAGCATCTGTCAAAATGGAAAATTCTACGAAAAAAGTAGGAAGCGAGCATGGCATGTGTGCTCATTTATCGGATCGGAAGACTGCATGGCAGGTGGCATTAAAATAAATCAATTTTTTGTTATTCAGTTCGTATTTATTATTTAGTTTCCATACACTTTTTTGTCCGAAGAAACAACAGTGTGATAAAATAGATCATGGGTAAGCAAATATAGTAGTCATTTATGAAGATAACATTCATTTATTTTATGCATTAATTTCTAATTGTCATATTTTATTAAGAACACAAAAGGGCTTCTTGAAATCATGTTCGTTGTCAGTCTGTCAGTAAAGTCCTACCAGAGATCTAAGAGAGCCATTAAATTTATTATCGATAAGTGTCTACCGCAAGTCAGAGGGGAATTGCCTCTGGACAGGCTCGTACATTTATTTTAGATATCCATTACTTATTCGATTGTTAGATGTGTTTAAAAGTTGGTCTTTATCATTGTCTATAAGTTATAACAGTTGCAAAAATATTAACATACAATACATTCTTATATTTACAAAACTTTATCATTTCTTGATAGAGTACAAAAAGAACAGAGGCAAAATATTTTAGAAAATTATTTTCAAAATTGAAGAGTGTCTAAAAGCTGGTTTGATACCGTTATCAACTGAATTAAAAATATTTACATAAATTGCGTATTTACATAAATTGCGCATAGAAATTTTGCCATTTATAAATACAATTCAAAAAATACTTTACTCCATTAAAAAAAATTACATGGACAAGTTATTTTCAGTATCACTGTAGTTATTTAGATCTATAATAATTGTTTATTTGAGCAAACTATCTGTATTTATATAAGATCTATTCATCCTTAGATCATGGGCAACACTACTTTTCCAGCTGTCATTGGCTATTGACTATAGACGAACCACAGATGAATTTAGGGTGTACGGAACATTACTTCTCCTTACCGATGCTTTTAGCTGATGCCATATGTGTTCAATCGGATCAAACATGCAATAGTAAGGAGGAGGAAGTCTTAATACTGTATGACCCATTTCTTCCGCGAAACTGTCATAATAATATTGTTTTCTTACGGAAAATGATTTTAAAGTTTCAAATAATTGTTTTTTAAAATAATTATCTTCATAATATATCATTTTCCAGTATATATTCCTGGATTCTAAGTTTGGTGTCATTAGAATATGGAACTTTATTCAGTCTACGACTGTGGTAGCTGGCATTGTCCAACACAATTACACTGTTTGGTGGTATATTTGGAAAATAACCTCGTTGAAAACCAGCTCTCAAATAATTCTGAGGTGG